GTTATACTGTACATTAAAAAATTATGTAACTTTGTGCTATTTTATATTTATCATCATTTTAATTTTTAATTTGGAATGTATTCTGCTGCAACTTTTCAAATATTATTATTACCGTTTCTTTTCTTTTTCTTCTCAAATTTTTAATTTTTATAATTATGATTGTTACTATAAATAAATAAATTGACTACCACGCAGAGGTCCCAGGTTCGATTCCCGGGCCGGGGGAAATATTTGTACGGCCTACATTTATTTCTCTCGTAAGTTAGGATGTAATTTGTGGTTATCTAAGCGTGTGTCCAAGGCACCCGCGCCACAGGGTTTCCTTAGTGCGGGGTTGAGTGTGTCCGTTGTTATTATTATTATTAAGTTTTTTTCTTGTACTCGACTGAAGGACGGATATTTGGAACCAGTAGGATACAAAAGGGCGCGACTTCCGCGAGCGACATAAAACGCGACATACTGCTATTCTCGCATAGATATCCCTCATCTGATGAATTTCGTCATCTGTGTTGTACTGTAAATGTCTGACTAGAGTAGTGAAAGTATTCTTATTTTGTTGCCGTCAACTTCTACAGACTAAGACAAACTGTGTTAAGACAAATACATGAGTTATGAATTATGTAAACAATACTGTCCTCTGTTCGCGTCCGGCCTCCATGGATGACCAACGGAATGACTGCCTACAAAGACAAACTCACTACACTGACAGGAATTCAGCGGCAGTAGAGCTCCTTGCGTAAGAGCTTACAAGCAATAAGTAAGTATTTAGTCATGAAGGCCAAATAGGTAACGCTACAACATATTATCTCTGCCGTAACGGATGTCTAGAGCAGAGATTGCAGTCTTTTCCCGCGCCATCGCGCTTCTTAGACTAGGTGATTAAGAAGCCGCGGAATTAGGCTTGCAGCTGGGAAGAGATTGCCCGCCACGCATTTATCCGAAGCATTAGAAATTAAGCTCACATCCAGTGATTAAAATAGAAGTAGGCCACACGTTTGGCAGCTAGTGTAAAATTCACATTCTTGTGGAATATAAAGTTTGATTATGTATCACGATTTTTTTTTTCGGGATTAATCAATATCGTTTTCTAATTGTTTCTAACATAAAAAAAAAAATTAAAAAAAACTGTATTTTCCTGTAAAAACTTTGCTTCCGTGAGCAGGACAACGAATAGTTGAAATTTTGCGTATCAATAAGAAAACGTATATACTTTCGGGCTTCCCTTTATTTAAAGACAAAAGGCGTACGTAGGGCGGTTACACCATCCATAGATAGGTGACACACGGCGACTTATAAACAGCGATGCAGTTGCGATGCAATCGCTAATCGTCTACCTTTACACGAAGCGCGACTGTAAGCAGCGATGCAAACGCGCGACTGCATCGATACAAACGCGCGATTTCATCGCTATACTTGGGGTTTAAAGGTCGCGCACAGGGGCGAGATGGTGTCAACGGGCTGGTTTTTAGAATCATGTCATAGAATTAGATTAGAAATAAGGCGGCTGACACCAAGCTGTGCCGCTGGGTCGGTGGGTAAATACCAGTGTGACAGCTACAAATACAAAGTTTCAGGGTATTATAAAGTTGTAACTAGATATCTTTTCTACATACTTGCTGTCAATTGACCATAAACCAAAACTGTCAAACCAGAAACAGAACCTTACCTTACCTAGCATTTACCTAGATTTAATTACCTACATTAGTTATTAAAAAAAAATACAAACTATAAATAACAACAAAGGTTTGTTGCACTTTGTGGACAGTGTCAACGAAGTAGCAAGTCTACAAAGGGCAGTATTGGAAAGTGGTCTGCGGCGCGAGTGTGGGGGGGACGCGGGCGCACTTTCTCTTACCATAGCTCTAAGCACCGGCAGGTAATCGCAAGCGCAGCTTGTTTTACGGCCAAACCGATGATGGTGTGACCACTTTTTGCCGATTTGAAAGCGAAAATAGCTCGCATACTTTGTTGATAGTGACATAACTGGCTATAATTAACCTAAAGAGGCAACTTTAATTATACTTTGTATTCGTGGTATAATTCGAGCTCGTCATTTTCATTATACCCCTGTTATAAACGTAGGCACTGTCAAAAGAACATCAAACAGGGCTTATCCTAAGCGGTATAGTTGAATTTCAATCGTGTAAGTTCGAACTGTTCTTGACCTTGTACCTGTAGTTAAGACTGTACCTATAATTGAGAATAGGGATCACATCCTAATTAAGAGACCATTCCCAAATGTTATAATTATAAAGTACATGTATAGAACAGCCACGTGCATTACTGAATTTCAAATTCAATTCATTTAAAATTTTTTTTAGCACTAAGTAATGAATTTGAATGTTTAAAATTACTTTTTCGGGATATGAATTTTGGTAATTTCGCCACTTGGCATCATTCCACGTAACATTAGCTACAAAAATACCTAGACTACTAGAAACTAGATACTATTAGATATTCTGGGGAATACCCCTGTATTCCCCTGATAAAGATTCTGAAAAAGTAATGAAATTACAACGAACTAAGGTAAACAAACTAAGCTGCGTTAAAATCAGTTATTGAAAAATAAACGATAATGTATACTGATAAAATTAATCTTAATTAGCAAACAGTAAGACGACGCGCGTCATCTGCGCGTATACGCGCTGCAGACGCGCCGTAGTCGCGTGTATGTATCGCTCATTTTGATAAAAGAAAGTTTTAATTTTAGTTTGTTGTGTTTGTTAGTTTAATTAGATTTTGAAATGAAGCAACTACATGAAATTCTAAGTGTAAACTCCAGTGGAGTACCTATATAAGCTTCTTGCTTGCAACGCGATGTTTGCGAGCGTTCTAATCGATTTATATAAAAATAATGTTGCTTTTGTGTTGATTTTTTGTCTTTTATTTTCAATCATCCCTGCATTTCAGAGGGAGGTATTATACACTCTATTTTATATTATTCTTATGTCTATATTATATTGAAGTAATATCTGGTTATAATTATAAACACGGAGGAAATAATGCTGTTTTCGCATATACATTTGCTTACCTAATAAATAAACTTACTTAATGCGAGCGAAGGTTGAACATCTTGATGTCTAGACTCTGGATGCCGTATTATGTGAATTGGTTAGAGGGTTGGAGTTCCCCCTCATTTATTCGGATTCTTATCGAGACACACAACCAATTAATTTGGATAGGACTTATCTCTAAGAAAAAAAGGCTCGATTTTCATTGAACATAGGTACTTCGCTATACTTAAACAATACTCAGAAGATAGTTAACTACATACGTTAATTTTATTGTCTTAAAGTATGTCCAAGATCTTTACTGTTGAGTAAAGTTTATCTTTCAACAAGTAAATAATAGTATTTTATGCAAGCCGAGTGGCATAAGTAGTATGTACGAGATTTTAAGACCTAGTTATTTAATGATTGCATACACATCGCATATACTTTTTCTAGTGAGAGTCAGAATACCCAAATAAATGGCGGAAATTTGTTTAAAAAAAAATTACGAATCTTTACAATTTTGATTTCGCTATAACTTCGTTACCATAGAGGTACGCATTTTTTAAGAATAAGTACTAAATAGTACAATTTTGGTACATTTTTTTGGTACCAAATATTCGTTAATGTGCACACGGCACCCTAAAATCTTCACATATTTTGTTTTATTTCTCAGAAACTAGCCAGCAGATCGAGCTGGAGTTTCCTTTACTTCAGAGTACTATTAAGGTACAAATTTTTGGAATAAGAAATTTTTTATAGTTATTAAATAAATACTGGTAATCCGAGGTGTACCTTTGATATTCCTATAACTTCGTTCTGATGGAGGTACAAATTTTTTAAGCAGAGGTATTAAATAGTACAAATTAGGTACATTTTTTTTATACCAAAAATGTCAGGATCCGTTAAGGTACACCCACCATTCTGATTCTCGCGTTTTCTACGAGTAAATAAAATAATGAAACAGATATTTAATGTAAATTTATGACAACAAAAAGTAAATTTTAACGCGTTTATTAGGGTAGCCCGGGTAGCCAAAGGTTCCACCATACAGCTTCTTAGTGAAAGCCAAAGAAACGCTACAACCAAAAAACCAAAGAGATAGAATAGAAATGGCCAAGTATAACCAATATTTTTTTTATAAAGATTTATGGCCTGGTTGCAAGACTTATAGGCCAATTTATCCAATCAGGAGGCAGTAGGAGGTATAGCCACAGCGTTTGAGTAGCGCGTCCTAATTGATATTTTCATTATCAATACTATATATAATACAATATATAATACGACTGACGTTCTTTTTTTGAAGCTCATTATAATTTTGATTCGGCACTAAAACGAGCGCCTTTTCTTCCATAAACTGTAATTCTGCTTTACCAACCCTTTCATTGGCTAAATGCGAAGACGAAGTCATTAATACCAAAAAAAAAAAAAAAAATATCCTTTTTCATTCAAATTCCGTAGCTCTTCCATAATCTAATTCTGCTTTCCCAACCATTTCATTGGCGAAATGCGAAGGCAAAACCATTAATTTAAAAAAAAATTTGGTGTGGTAGAAATTATAATTGACAGATAGTACAGAAGTAGAAAAATATTTTTTCTTAAATAAGTGACTTAAGGTTCTTGTAAGTCCTTATATGTTATTTTTGTGGTTTATTATAATAATATACTGCACAAGTTCCATTTGCTGATGCTTAAAAATCAATCAGCAGTGGGAGAAAACCAAACATTTCAATAAAATCAACAACAGCGAAATCAAAATCTCACATGGATTGAATTCCGTTCCTATCCACTTCACTAAAAAAGCGCTACCGAGATGAGAAGTCCTAGTGTGAACGAGAAAGCAGATGGATGTGTGCAGTTTCGCAACGAGTACGAAAGAGACACGTAACGGGTGACTGAGGGGTCATGCACGATCAAGAGAAGGGGGCACAGGCGCTGCCATCGCGATCTCTCGTTCATTTTCTTTAGTCGTATTCGAATCATCGTGACGGGTGGGTGGTGTTGCTTGTTCTGCCAAGTAAACAAGTTAAATCCGTGATTGATCTCAACTTGTGAAGTTCTGTGAGTGACTCTAGTGTGTCTAACATGGCGTGTGGTACGAGTTTTGTGAAATATGTGCTGTTCTTCTTCAACCTGGTCGTCGCGGTGAGTTGGGCGGGAGACGGGAACCGGTTTGGTTTTGTTCCGGTGGCGGCTGCGGCTGTAGCTAGCGAACAGTGAAACCCATGACTCGTTCGTTTCACCTCATAAAAGCTGTATTCCACCAAAAAATAATAATAATAACGTTTACACTCGTGAGCAAAATGTAGGTAGTAGATGTTGCTAGCGTAAGGAATAACATTCGTTTTTCCTCGAAAGTATGAACTTTAAACTCCTTTTATACGAGTTTTATTATGGAAACTAATTAACTATAGCGGTTTGAATGTGGAGAAATGCTCACGTTATTGGCGTCCAGTTTTACTTTTATTTTACGAAATGTGGAAGTAACATTTCTGTCTCCGTCGGCGACAGAAACGCGACCCTAAAATAGGGTGAATTAGAATTGATTCCCATTTTAACGTTTTTGATAGTTTTTCGTTATTTTCCTGTTTACTAATCAATTTTGTGTTAATATTTTACGTGTTAGTTAACACTTGGGCTGTCGGAGGCATTTGATATATAAACAATTTTGGAGCTGATGTAAACTTCCAATGTAAAACCAAAACATGATTTTTCTACGCGCATTCGACAAGTTTAATTCTGCACAGTGCGCTTATAATGATTAGAATGATGACACAGTTCGGAGACTACACAATGACATCACGGATGTTTATAGTAGTGTATCAACATTTTCGCAGAAGTAAGCTGCGCAAACGCATACTTGGCGTTCACCACGCAAATCACGTTTGACCTGCACACTTTAGAGTAATTCAAATAATTATTAGAATCAAGAAAAACATAACAATGCATCGGCTCAATGGTGGTCAGTTGCGTTTCATGGATGATTACATTGAAACAAGCTCCGTCATGATTGCTATGACCTCAGTTCATGGCTGTTAGCATCTCGTTTTTGCAGAAGTTCATCGTAAACCCAAGGTTTACAGTCATTTAATCAATTTAAGCTGAGTTAACGTTTTTTACCAGACTTTAGTTATGTTATTACTATAGGCTTTCGATCAAACACTTCCAAATAAGAAAGAGGCTTGAGATGGTGGGTGTTTGTAAATAAAATTTTAGAAATAAGTATATTTTGTTCGTATTATCGGCATTTGTTTGTGATTTCCGTTTACCATTAATGACATTAATTATCGCAGCCGTTCTAAGTAGTCTAAGGTATTTATTTATTTTTCCTTTACGATAATTGATTTAGTGTCAGTTCTGCAAAAATAATATAAAAATTATAGCAATGAGCGAAATATGTCAATGAAAATTAAGTTTTTTTGGTACTGTTTTTTCCATTAGAAAAGGTAAAGGCACTAATGCGCCATACAGCCAAGACTGAGAGTAATTTCTTTCTTGGATTCCATTACAAAATAGTCTTCGATAGTGCTTCTTACGAAATGATATAAAATTGGATAACATTCTTGATAATTTTGATTTTGTCATTATTATTATTTATTTATTTATTAAGCATTGGCGTAGTACTCTGCTTAAAAAGGTAACTAATAATTAAGAAATTCAAAACGGAATTATTGTACTTAAACTAAAAGTTAATTCGTGTAAAAACGAATCGCAAAAACCCGCTATTTTTTGTCCTGGAAAATTAGATTATTATTACTTGCTTAGATGGCGGCCACTAGGCTTGAGCCAGCGTCAGTTTTGTAAGAATAATATAAAAAAATGGCGATCATCGCGTATCAATAATCGTGAAACACGTTCGCTGGAAAATTTGATATTTGTGACAAACCATAAATGAATAGAAACTTTTATTTTTTTCTATTACCCTGGCTTTTCGCGGTTAGCGTTTCAGCCACTTACAAGGTTTTTGACTTGTTTTTAAAACGGGGAATTGACATAATAATGAAATTTAGAAATAGGAAGGTGGAAAAAACGTCCAGGTGAAGAACTATAAGGTGTAAAATAAACAATTAGGAGAAATATTGCATTATTATTAAAACAGCTAAAGTACTAAGTATTCATGTCGTCGGAGTACATAGCTCTAAAAAAGTATACTATTGATTCAACAAAAAAAAATTGTTCTCTGACAAACTGCGTTCTTTCCACGAAGTAGGTCGTCAGAGCTCGCGTGACAAAAGTCCCTTTTCTGTCTTCCCCTCTGCCAGTCAACAGGTGTATTGAATAATTAATGAATCACAACACCGTTGTCGTGTCCGGCTCATTTTACCGCCGATATTACTTTTGTGGTTGATAAAAGTCTTCAAGACTGATTCAATATTATATTTCCTCAAATTTTGAATGAATAGAACATGGTGGTTTTTCAGCTATTGACGCAGTTATAATTCAACCTCTTTACGTATGCATGATGACCATGACGTCATGTTTCAAAGGATAGAAGTTACAACAAAACCACTGAATAAACGCGCAATAATAATAATTATGCTAAATGCAATAGTGATATTTCACACTAGCTGTACATGCTAGAGAACAAGACAAATAATTTATGATCATCGTGAAACCATGATATTAATCCTGTCGTTAGGAAATAAACCGTGAATGTTCCATAATATACTGAGATGCAATATCTAGGTTTGTCGGTTGTTTATTTCACAGTGGAGAGCTTCATCGGGAAAATGAGAAAGTGGGTCAAGGAAAAGTCCTTAAAACCCGGGGGATGCGAAGCTGAGGCGTACTGCTAACTCAAGGTTAATATGCCACAAGAATTTAACCTCGAGCTTACTTATCTGGGCAAGTATGAGTTCATCGCGTACAGGGCAACTTGATACTAAACACAAGCAAACATTTCACATTACGCGACTTGTTATTCAAACACGTCAACTGGGAAATAAGGAGAATAACAGCAACGCAAAAGTGAACAATATTAGCACTCAGTAACTGGTTAACAAAGCGGTAGTGTCTTCAGCATACTTGAAAAAAAATATGCTGCGAAGTACTGATTGGGCTACTTAATATTATCAGTTAGAACGTTATAAAAAATTAAACATCTCTATTTATAAAACAAAACTGGATAGATTTTCTCTTGATACCTAATGGCTGAGACGACGCGCTTTCCTGATAGTTGAAGAGTGAAACATATAGGAAGCGGGTGCGGGTCTAATTCCTGTGTGTTGAACGCTTTACTAATTCACCCGTGCTACGTAAAATTAAAAAATATAATTACATTTACCTTTACTCGACACGAACTTATATTAGATAGGTACTAAATCACATTTATCTACTTGTTTTATGTAATATTTCAAATGAATATTTGTATTCATTCTAGTGTTTCTGTAGATAAATGTGTTTATTTAACCCTTTTTATCATGCAAACTTAAAAGTATCAATATTGACTGTGTAGTAAACGGATGGTAGGTATCGCACCGAACCAAACCAATCTAGATCAATTGTACTCAGAATTTGCTTAAATAATATAATGCAATAACAGTTTTTAAACGCAAAAAAACTTATGATTTTATACCCACGCGCTGAGTAAGCTTGTATAATTTTAGTTGTACACGTGTCTTCAGTGTACAAGACTTAGAGCAAGAAAACTAAAGGGCTCATAATTACCAGTTAGCTGCCTTGTACTCTACAAAACCTCGACCATCGCAGAAAAGTAGCCTGCTTGTCGGTTTTCTATTGGATACATTTCGGGTAGTGTACAGGAACTTTAGTTTCACCCTCACCGTTCCTCCTTCGGTCGACTAGAAGGTCCGGAACAGTCCATCCTTATGTCATTGATATACCACCAATTCGCACTAAGCGCTTTGCTTCCTCCTTTCTGATGCGTATGGCAAAGGAATGGTATACTCTACCGATGGAATAATCTACTCTATCTGTGTTTCCCGAAACGTACAATTTGGGGCTATTCAAAGCTAGAGTGAATAGGCATTTTTTAAGACAAACGCGTTCCATCGTCGCTTAATATCAGGTGAGATTGTGGCCAAGCGTGTGACCATTATATATTAAAAAAAAATCACTATATTGTTTAGAAACTTAAGATTCCGGAGCTCAAAAGGTCAGGCAAAAAAGCGTACATATATACTTACCACGCGCTATGTAGTGGCACTTATCGCAGATCGGTATCCAGAGTAAGGAGGTGACATCATCGTTACGTTAGCGTCAGACGCCTAACAGGCGCCTTTGGTACTTAACATGCTTTATTTCTTAACACGAATGTTCATTACTTTCTTTTAACGCAACTATTGCTTTGCGACGCTTTCCCTGATTGTAAAGAACTATAGATTAGGGATGTAGACAAACCCCTAACGCAATTGCAAAATTATGTCGATGTAAATCCAGATGTATAATAAATGCATTTCCAAGTACGATTGAGTATTTTGCTAATATTTGTTGCAACGTTTTTGTAAGAAGCAGGAATGTAACCGCAGTAATTTCGCACTGCGATGACCTTGCTTGTTTGCTAGTTTCTTTTTTACGATTTCGTGTTTTCATACGCACTCTTGAATGTTGCCACTGATACTAATCATAGTTTATTAATATCAAGCATTAAGAGTGATATTACCTCAGCTCGAACTCAGTTTTTCCCGGTCTAAAACGGTTCATTTTGCTTGGGTCGAGCGGGACACTGGCTTTATTTCAGATTTTTTTTTTAAACGAAATTGAAGCCATTTTAAAAATGCATATCGTATACTTATGGTTCAGTTGATAGAAGAAACAGAAACATCATTAGTATATTGTAAAGTACCTATTGAATTTATAGGTTTTCTTGTAAAATTTCGAGGTAAGTTCGTGTTTTTTTTCTGTCGTGAAAATGTATAGGAATTGTGTTTTCACACCGTATAGCAGTCGGTGTATGTCATCAATTTTACTATATATTTTTTCCGGAGTGATTGATTCAACACTAGGGTCGTACTCTAGAACTTTACTCAATGCTCAAGTCAGGATTGCAATTGAAACACAAGCACTGGAAATACGACCCTAATGGCAGGGACTTGAGTCTGATTTCTAGTGCTTTGAATCATACTCAAGTCCTGACTTAAGCATTGAGTAGAGTTCTAGAATACGACCCTTTGACTGTTATGCGG